AAACAGTGTCAGGTATATAGTAAGCACTTACTGCTATCAATTGTCTTAGCCTGGGTTCCCTAGAAAACAGAGGTTGAGGCTAAAGCCCAGGTGCTAACACGTTATTAGTAAGTGCAATCCTAGGGAAGCGAGAATGTGGAAAAGGGAAGTGAGGCAGGAAAGGGGAGCAAACATAAGGAAGTGCATCACTGCACCACAGAATGCTAACACACCAGCAGCAGAGACCCGAATATGGCTTTTTCCTTAGGGATTCCAGCCAGCCAGCTCGTAGAAGGTTGGTTACATTCCTTCTTGGAGCAGGTTGTGATTCTGGATTGGGGTTTGCCTTTTCTGCCCATGGTTCCTCTGCTAGCATCACCAGTTGAGGGTTCACAGAATGTCTCACCTATGACAACATTGCCTTGAAATAAGGGACCCATTTTGTGGCTAAGATGGTGAGACAATGATGAAGCACCAAAATGTTTGCAGGGTGCTACTTACCATGTACCCTATGAGAAGCAGCCCTTCTGATAGAATGGTGAAATAGCCTGTTGAAGACTCAGGTAAGGCACTAAATTAGGCTAAACATCTTGCAGGTTGAGGTGCTGATCTCCAGTATAAGGTACATCAGCTGAACCAATGGCTGATCCATAGAGATGTGCCCATTAGCTAGAATACACGGGCCCAGGAACTATGAGGAGCAAGTAGGATTGGCTTCCTCACCATCACTCCCAGGGACGCACTTGTAGACTTTGTGCTTACTATCTCCACAGTTTGAGGCTCTTATGGATTAGAGACACTGGCTCCCAGGGGGAGAGGATGTTGACTGTGGCAGCTATCTTTTTGCAAGTTTGGGTTCCTCACACCAGTGAACTTGCAGGCAAAGATACTTTACTGACACAGCTATTTACCGTGAGCATCTCGGGTTGCTGCTACACAGTGGAGGCAGGAGTTTGTCTGAAACATAGGATCTTTACTGGGGCATCTCTTGTTAGTCTTGTCCCTGTTATGACTGCAAATGGTTAGTTTCAGCAAACATGGCTGTCAACTCAGATTAACTGAAACGCTGGCTAGGAGTGCGGGAAATATATAATAGGTGTGGAGGAGGAAGGTGATGGGATCCATTACAGCTTGGCCCAGCTGTACCATCAAGGACTCTAGCGTGGCTTGCTGACCATTTTAAAGTCTTTTGAGGAGGTTACAGTGTCCACTACCTTGGCAGATTGGTTTTGTATCTCTCTTGTCAGGGAGGCAGGGAGGGTATTTAGTCCCAGATATAATAAGAGGGTGCAAGTGGCTCTGGGTGAAGCAAGGGCTGGACTGACTGCATTTAGTTTATGTGCCACCCAGAGCCATGCACTTGCATTGTGTTCTGGCCAGAGTGGTCCTAGCAATAGCTTGTGCTGTTAAGTGGTTGTGGAGACAGTTGCTGCTGCCTCCTTATTCCTACAGACTGAAGCCCCCTTGCTGTGGCTGCTCTGGGATCCTCAGGTCTTGTGTAGGTCTACTGATTTTTTTGATTGCTTGTTACATCAGTTAATGAGAGATATATGTTTAAAATCTTCATCTATAATTATGGATTTCTCCTTTGTTTTATATATATATATATATATATATATATTTTTTTTTTTTGTGTGTGTGTGAGACTATGTGTGTGTGAGAGGAAGACTAGCCCTGAGCTAACATCTGTTGCCAATCCTCCTCTTCTTGCTGGGGAAGATTGGCCCTGGGCTAACATCCATGCCCATCTTCCTCTACTCTACAAGTAGGATGCCTGCCACAGCATAGCTTGATAAGCAGTGTGCAGGTCTGCACCGGCCCCGTATGTATTTTGAGGCTGGTTATTAAACAAATACATATTTAGGATTGTTATAGCTTTCTGTTGTCTTGACAACAGAATCATTATGAAATGTCTCCATTTAAGTCTCTCTGAAATACTTCTTGCATTAATAGCTATTTTTTATATTAATACTGCTACTCAGCTATCTTATGGTTTAAATTTTTATTCTCCTTTTTTGCCTTTTTAAAGATTTTTCAAGTGTTTTTTTCCATTATTCTATTTTCTCCTTGTCTTAGCTGTTAGTTAGGTAACATTTGATTATTCCTTTAGTGATTACCCTAATGATGGAGGCAAGCAACTTTTATTTATTACCATAAACTAGTTATTTTACCACTTCGTAGACAACAGAAGAACCTTATAGTTCTTCAATGCTATTTGTTCTTTAACTCTCCTTTTGAATTGTCTTTTTTTGTGTATGTGTGTGAGGAAGGTCAGCCCTGAGCTAACATCCGATGCCAATCCTCCTCTTTTCGCCAAGGAAGATTGGCCCTGGGCTAACATCCGTGCCCATCTTACTCTACTTTATATGTGGGATGCCGCCACAGCATGGCTTGACAAGCAGTGTGACGGTGTACACCCGGGATCCGAACCTGCGAGCCCCGGGCCACCGAAGCGGAGCTCGGGCACTTAACCACTAAGCCACTGGGCTGGCCCCCTGCATTGTCTTTATATTTCAAATTTCACAAGACATTACTATTGTTGTTTTGAACACTTGATATTCATTAGTTTTACTCACATATTTACCCTTTCCAGTGAAGGAAGTAAATTATATTAAAAATTTAAAAGTTAATACCTTAGAGACAGGCACCTCCACACCCTAAGGATTCCTGGTATAAGGGGGAACGTTTATCGATCCTGACTGACTCTATTCATAGAAGACTCGCCCTAAACTGTTCGGGGAAAATTGAGAACAAGAGAGTGCTCCAGAGGGATAAGTTTGGGAGGGTCGGGGTGGAGGGGGTCCAGATGGGGACGCGTGTGTGTAACCTGATAATTGCTTCGCGCCATAGCAATTCGCGCCATAAAATGTAACTGTTTAAATGTTTTAAATTAGCCAATCATGTAAGACCGCGCCAACCTTTTCCTGCTTTATGCTTCCGAATCCTATAAAAGAGCTTGCCCCTTAAGGTTCGGGGTCGACCCCTCTGTCTCCTGCGAGAGATACGTGTCGACCCGGAGCTCCGCTTAATAAAACCTCGTGCATTTGCATCAAGCTCGGTCTCCTGTGTCTGTGGGTCCGCGCCTTCCCGAGACTGGAGTTGGATTTCCTTTTTGGAATCCTACACCAGCAGTATATTTCATTCTTTTGGCATTATTGTACTTTCATCTGGGATTATTTTCTTTTTATTGAAGAACTCTTTTTAATATTTCCTTCCAAGTGAGTCTGCTGGCAACAATTTACATCAATTTTTGTTTATCTGAAAACATCTTTAGTTTTTCTTCATTTCTTAAGGATATTTTCACTGTGTATAAAATTCTGGATTTGTGGTTATTTCTTTAGCATATGAAAGATGTTATTCCATTATTTTCTTACTTCCGTTGTTTCTCTTGAGAAATCAGCTTGTGATTCTATTGTTGAAGTTTGATTTTTTTTTCTCAAGTTGCTTTTTAAGATTTTCCCCTTATCTTTTGCTTTTAGCATTTATACTAAGATTTTCCTAAATTGTGATTTTCTTTGTATTTATGCTGTTTGGCGTTAGTAGAGCTTTCAAATCAGTGGCATGATACCTTTTGGCAGAAAATTCTTGGCTAGAATCTCTTCTTGCTTCTGCCCAGTTTTCTCAGTGGTCTCTTTGTTGGAGTCCAATTAGTCCAATTACTGTTAGACCTTTTTACCTTTCCCATGTATCTGTCATGTGGTTTTTTTGTATTTTTAATCTTTTCTTTTTTTCTGTGATTCAGTTTTGTTATTTATTTTTTAGGAAAAACAGCCACAGAATACTCAAGATCAACATTAATGAAGAACAGTTGCCTCATTTCTATTTGATTTTTACAGAGATTTTTTTCCCCAAGATTACTAAGAATAGTACTTTCTTTGACTCTTCAATTCTTTGAGGGAGGCAATAACCACTCAGAACATACATTGTCTCTGGTTTAGAGATGAATTCAGATACATTAAACTGCAAATAATTTTATACTTAAGCCTATGATATATGATAGAGCAGTTGTTTCTGCTCTATTTATTCAAATTTGTGGGCAAGCTTCCCTCAGGGGGCTTTATAAATTTATAAGTAAGCTTTAATTTTGTAACAATGATTAGGGAGGTGAGAGCATTACTAACTGTCAGTGGATTGGGGCTAAGGATGCTATTATGTATTCTGCAAGGCAGGGGACAGTCCCTTACAAGGACCAACAGTTATGTGTGTTGCACAACTTTCAACAGTCCTGCCGGATATTCATGTTGGTGATATAACTGCTAACAGTGATTTGACCCTATATCCCGACTCTCTTTTACTATGAACCCTAAATTATTTTTTGCATCATTTAGATAGAGACTGAATTCTCCATGAAGACTACACAGAGGGAATATTGTGTTTTGTTTGGAACTTGAGGGAGAGGTAGTCACAATTATGGAAAGGCACATCAACTGCTCTCCTCTGCCCATGCTATTTTTGTTTCTTATACGACTCCCCTATATTTTGTCAGCAATACAACTCATAGTCTATACGTGTGTTTAAGAAGATTCTACAGATAGACGCAAGCATCTGACCACTTCATTGATCTTCCTCATTTCATAATGAAATATTATTTTGTTATAAATTACCTTCCCTTTATTTCCTCTGTAAAGTTGAAGCATTGCCCTATATGTTGATTTTAAAATTATATGTGTAGGTCCATGATGTGACGTACCAATTTTAGTTCAAGATAATAATTATTTCATTTCAGGATTTTTCTTATAAAATGAGAGGTCCGGAATCTGATAGGTTGAGAATAAGTTGGGTAGAATCACAAAGTTTGCTAAGATTGATTTCAAGACGCAGATAAGACCCAACACGAAACAGCCTTTTTATTGCTATGACTTACTGTTATTATTATTTTTTTAAAAAATATTGTTACATCGAGGGGTTTTAGGCCCTGAGTTTCCATCACCTCCGGGCCGGGAACCTTTGAGCCCCCAGTCACAGGGGCTCCTAGGCGGTCCTGGTGGAGACCGCGGCCGGAACCTTGGCGCCGTGACGCCGGTTTCCGGCGGGCTCCTTAGAGCGCCGAACAGCGTTGGGCCGAAGGACCATGAGAGGGCCGGAGCCTGGTCCCGAGCCTACCATGGAGGGGGACGTGCTGGACACCCTGGAGGCGCTGGGGTGAGTATCCCTGGGGACGCCTTTCCCCCGACAACGTGAGCTCGCCGTCCGCCTGGCTGTGGCAGTCCCCTCCGCGTGGGCTTCCGCGGGCCTCGGGAAGCTCCGGGCCGGCCTCCTTCCCCGCCGCGCTCCCTCCGGCGCCGACGGAGTTAAGGGGGCGGCGGGAGAGAGGTCCGTTTGGGGGGTGGAGCAGGGCCGCAGAGCGGGGGCGCGGGGCCCCCTCCTCCAGACTCCTCGTCTGGAAGCCCCGCGGCCATGGCGCGCAGCGGCCTGGCGGGCGCCGGTCCTCCGGGCAGCGTGGCCAGCCCCGCGGGGCTGCGGTGTGACGTCGGTGTTGCGCCCGGGGCAGGGGGAGGTGCTGGAGCGCGGGCCGTACCTGGGGACTGTCGTCTCTTACGGGGTGCCGCCTGGGGCTTAATTAGGGCCGGGCAGCGACTCTCCATTGCGAGTCCGTTCAACCGTTTCATCCGTTTGTTAACAACGTATTAACTGGGTGTTAATGTGTATTCATGAAATGCATATTTATGTGCTAGGCAGGCCAAAAAGACGGTTTTCAGATTCCTAGTAGCTAACATAGCCGGGGCTACAAAGAGTCGACCGGTATTTACCGTTCAGAGTCGTCAGTGCTGTGGGAACTCCTGGGATGATGCTAACCCTTCCAGGCATGGGGATCAACACATGCAATGTAGCCTTGCCCTCAGCCTCATCCTATTTTTCTTCACAGCCCTTGGCCCTATCCCAAATTATCGTGTCCTGCGCATTTATTTATTGTCTCTTGATTCCCGTCCCGCCCCCCAGCCCTACAAGTCAGCTCCGGGAAAACAGGTGCCTTACCTGCCAACGGGGTCTGCACAATAAATAGTGGTTGAGCGAATGGGTAAATGATTGAAGAAAAGCTCAAAGGAAAGAGTGCACAGAGGTAAGCATAGGGCCAGATAGTTGCGAGTCAAAAAATACATGTTAATTAAAGAGATTGGCGCCATCTGCACAATTGTTTGCCCCCCGGTGCTGGAGTTGATGAATGGGATGGCTGGGCCTCTGCAGTGCTACTGTGAAGCTTGAAACCCTCCACCCCACTTTACTTTTTCCTAAAACTGCTCTCGCTCCTCTGTCAGCTGCTTCTTTTGGACCCTGATAATACCTACTTTGCGATGACCCAATGTTACAGAGTCTTGCAGCTTAGTAGATCCTGAATAAATGTTTGTCAAATGAAAGAATAGAACTGGAGATTATTTAGGGGGCATTTCTCCTTCTGTGAAATCTCTTGGAAATTTTCACTTAACTCAGTTAAGGAAGTAACCAAAACAAGAAGTTAAAATACTTAATAGAAGTATTTAGTCCCCAAGCAGTTTGAGCTTCCAAGTACTCTAGATAAAAATAGTGGGATTCTGTAGTTTATGAAAAAGATAAAGTCAGTGCTTTTTTCTTCCTTCATTCCTTGAATTTTTGTTTATAATAGGTGTTTTGAAAAATGAGGTTTGCTATAATCTTGACTTTTATCAAGGAAAATTAGTTTCAGATTATTCAATATGGAATATTGGAAAGTAAAACAGTTTACACACTTTAGAATTGATTTTTTCCTTATCTGAGCACAAGATTTTGAAGTTTGAATTTTCCTATAATGGTAATGAGATGTGAAAAAAGAGTAGTTTACTTACAATATGTGTTGTAATTAACACTGTGTTTTAAAATATCTGTGTAGATTGTGAATAATGTATTTTCTATTGTGATTAAAACATTTAGGATATCAGTGAAAGTACTTCAGTTTGTCAGATAAAATAGGACATTAAAGGGAGAAATTAAAACCAAAAATCTCTGTGAAAGAGCAATATATTGACATAGTATGTTATAACTGAAAACAAGGTAGGAAGAACTTAATTTCCTCATCTGTGAAAGGGGCAGGCTGGAGCAGATGATTTCAGAAGTCTCTCTCAGTTCCAACAGTCTATGATTTTGTAGAACAGTGGAGCTCAAACCTGGTTATGCATCAGAATCAGACATGGAGCATGTGAAAAATATTCCAGTCTGTTATATATACCACAAACTGACTGAAGCATGATCTTCAGGGGTGTGGTATAGGCTTGCGTATTTTTAAAAAGCTTCACAGCCAAGGTTGAGAACCACCATTATGGAGGGAAGTTTATTTAAATATTTGTTGAGCACAACTCTAGCAGACACTGTTCTGTGAAGTCAGTGGTGAGCCAAATAGACTCGGTCCCTGTCCCTGTGGAGCTTACGGTGTAGTGGAGAAACAGACATGATCCCACAAATATTTGTAAACTGTAATGGCTTTATAGGAAAAGATAACATGACAAGAGAACCCATGTAGTCTTAGGGGTTAGTGATAGAGTCCTGAGGAATTGACCTTTGAGTTGAAACAGGAAGGGTGAATAGGAGTTAACTAGGTGAAGTTAGATGGGAAAGGAAGACAGGTGTCCTTACAGTGAGAACAAACTATGAAAGACCTCGAAGTGTGAAGGAGCATGCTGTATTAGAAGAACTGGAAGGAGGCTAATGTGGCTGGAGGGCAGAGAGCAAGGGCCAGAGTGGTGGAAGACTAGATTGGCGAGTTCGGAGAGGACCAGGGCATGCAGCCCCTTTTAGGCTGTGTTGTGGATTGTGTTCTCTGTCCTAACAGCGGTGCCTCATGCTTGAGGATTTTAAATAGAAAAGAGAGTGATTACATGTCTAGTTTGAAAAGTTACCTCTGTTAGGAAGGTGGAGAATGGAGTGGAGAATTTAGTTAGTAGTCTAGGCAAGAAGCTATGTTTGTTAGTGGTAGTGGAGATGGAAGGAAGTTCATTACAGGACTTAGTGATTGATTGGATATTAGAGTGAAGGAGATGACGGTCTCAAGGATTCATTTCTTCAGTAGGTATTTTTTGTGTGTGTGAGGAAGATCAGCCCTGAGCTAACATCCATGCCAATCCTCCTCTTTTTGTTGAGGAAGACTGGCCCTGAGCTAACATCCGTGCCCATCTTCCTCCACTTTATGTGGGATGCCGGCCACAGCGTGGCCTGACAAGCGGTGCATCGGTGCGCACCTGGGATCCGAACCTGGGCTGTCAGCAGCAGAGCGCGTACGCTTAACTGCTACGCCACAGGGCTGGTCACTTCAGTAGGTATTGAGCACCAAAATGAAGTGGTACACCTTGGGATCTAAATTGGATAGGAAAGAAAGTGAAGACAGCTGGTAAATACAGAGGGACCAACGGAATGGAGATAGAGGTGAGATCAAAAAATAGTTGTAGAAGAGTGGTCAAAAGAACAGCTGAAACTATAGGTAGTAGTTTGTGGTCAGTGAGTGACGTGTTTGAATTAGTGATTTCGGAGGTGGATTAGTTCCAGGTGATGGCAAGATCTCAGGGTTGGCTCACTGACATGTAGTGGCGAGGTTGGAAAAGAAGAAGTTAGGGAATTGAGCGCTCAGGGTATTGGATAGGATATACATACGGACTTTCAAGAAACTCAGTATAATGCCAAAAATAGGGATGGAGAGGAAAATTGAGCACAGGGAATACGGGAGAGTGTCCAAGAGATTGCTAGATGAAAACCACAAGAGAAAGAGGATGGCACATCTGCCTGGCCTGAGCCTGGAGAGAGCAGGAGATATTTATAAGATAATGGGGGAGCAATGATATGGATGCAGTATTGGGAGGCAAGGACAAAAACTCTACCACCTGACCTTGAGGAACTTGAGAGTGTAAAATAGCCCAAGCTACAGGTGGTAGGGATAATCCTTCTGAGAAGAGATCGACAATCTAGGAGAGTTATTTATGGATGGAACATAGTAGAAGAATTTGGGAAGCAAGGAGAAGTGAAGAGCTGGATTAGAGGCAAGTCAGTAGGGTGGGTAAATGACAGGGGCAAAGAGTCTCGTATTTTATGCTGGCTGCTGCAAATAGAAAATTGTGGAGGTTAGCCAGTGGCGCTAATGGCCTGAAGATTTGGATCACCCAGCTTGAAGTACTGTCAGACCAGCAACTGTGGTTCCAGTGTACATGGCTTTGGGGGAGCCTAGGCCTGAGCGGAGGTGTCCCCAGTGTTTGGAATAAGAGTAGCACTTTCCTAATTAAATAATATATAGGACAAACTAGAGCATAGTATTACCTATCTTTTTTTTTTGTTTTTGGTGAGGAAGATTGGCTGTTAGCTAACATCTGTTGCCAATCTTCCTCTTTTTGCTTGAGGAAGGTTGTCCCTGAGCTAACATCCGTGCCAATCCTTATGTATTTTCTGTGTGGGACGTTTCCACAGCATGGCCTGATGAGCAGTGGGTAGGTCCATGCCCGGGATCCAAACCCGTGAACCCTGGGCTGCTGAAGCGGAGCATGTGAATTTAACCACTATGCTACGGGCCGGCCCCCCCCATAATATTAACTATCTTATAGGATAGTGTGGCAATTAAATGAGGTAATATATATAAAACACAGAGCACTGGCCTAGTGTAAGAGTAGCTTGTAAATATTAGTTGCTATTATGATTATGATTGTTATATTAGCTGTTGAGGTTTGTTAAATGCATTTATTTTTTCTTTTAAGTTTTACCTGATTTGATGAGCTGAGACATTAAGGATTGGGGGGAGGGTCCCCTCTAAATTCAGTACTTTTGATGATTTAATCAATTTTGTTGAATTTTATGATTGGCCTTTCAATAAAAATAACTTATCACCAACAATATGAATTAAGTTTATTCAAGAGTTTATGATTATTGCTTTATTGTTGAAGTGAAAGGAAGTAGGGGGAAATCAGACATTTACTATTAAATCTCAGTGAGAGGCACTATAAGACGTGGAGGAAAGGTAACGCAGAGAGGAACCAGTCTTGGCTGGAGGAGCAGGGACAGTGGTCTAGTCCCAGGTCTGCCTTTACCTGGCTGCATCACCGGCCGGCTTATTTGCTTAGTTTACTTGTTAGTGCAGACAGAACTTTAAGAGTTCACATGGATCGTTTAGGGTGAAATCTGGATTTAAATCCTAGGGTCATCACTTATCTTCCGATCCTACAGAATTAGCATAATACTAACTTCAAAGCATTGCTGTAAAGAGTAAATGAATTATAAGTAAATTTACATATAAATATAAACCTAGCACTGGGCCTTACCTGCTACTTGAGGCAAGTATCCTAACCTTGTTAAGCCTTATTAATTTCTTACCTGCAAAATGAGGATTTGAAAATACTCATCCTTCGTGAGATATGACCAGAGAATTCGGAGAAAAAGAAATGCAAATACCCTTTAAATATATGAAAAGATGTACACCGTTGTTCATAAGAGGAATGTAAATACCATATGGTAAAAAATCCAAATGTTTGACAACTTTGGTGAGTTAGAGGGGAGTGGGTACTCTCATACTTTGATGGTACAACCCCTGTAGAGGAAAATTTAATAGAATCTAGCAAAGTTACATATCCGTTTACCCTTTCACCCAACAATCCCACCTCTAGGAAACTACCCTTGATATACACTGACAAAAATTTGCAAATTTTTTTGTAATAGCAACACACTGCAAACAACCCAGATGTCTTTCACTGGGGGCGTAGTGAATAAAATGTGCATCCTGACTGTGGAGTACTATACAACTATAAAAATGATTGAGTAGTATCTCGGCTGATCTCTGGGATATGTAAATGTATGTGTGTGTGAGTGTGTCTGTGTTTAAAGCAAAGAATAGAACAGTATATAGTAGGCCACCTTCTTTTTTATTTATTTTTTTTTAATTTTTTGTTTATTGCAGTAACATTGGTTTATAACATTGTAAAAATTTCAGGTGTACATCATTGTACTTCTATTTCTGCATAGATTACATCATGTTCACCACCCAAATACTAATTACAACCCATCACCACACACATGTACCGAATTATCCCTTTCACCCTCCTCCCTCCCCGCTTCCCCTCTGGTAACCACCAATCCAATCTCTGTCCCTATGTGTTTGTTTATTGTTGTTATTATCAATAGTAGGCCATCTTTTATCTAAAAAAGGAGAAATATATGTTTGTATTTATATTTATATTCAACATGGGAATGACAACCCAAAACTAATAAATATGGTTACCTATGGGGGAGGGAGGCAACAGAGTAGAGGGAACAAGATTAAGATTGCAAGCTAGATTTGTCTGAATGTACCTTGTTTTGTAGATTAGTCTGAGCCCATATAAACGTTTTACATAATTATAAAGCAAATTAAATAAAAATGAAATCAAAACAAAGACAGACAAATCCCTAAAAATCAAAAGCAAAATGAAACAAATGTCTATCAATATATTGAGTAGGTGCTTTAATTACATGGAAAGGAATTGTTTTTCCATATATCCTTACTGGAGTGTATTCCAAAGAAAAAAAATTAATTGTTTTCAGTAATTTTATTGTTAGTAATAATGATGATTTTCCTATTCTGAAACTATGTAATTTATATCTATTTTTATATATACTAGCATTACATAAATGTCATTAGAAACCAGAGATTTTCATTGTAAGAGAAAACAGATACAAATTTAAAACAAAATAAGTAAAAACCGTACAATTCTAAATTTGAATTGGCAATAGCAATATGAACTCCTGATGTAATTTCTCTTAAAAAGGTACAGATACGGTGACTGACCTTTAGTAGCAGATTGTGTGCTCTAAATACCAGTGAAAAGAATCAGTGCGTCTTGGAGAAATGGATGATGACAGGTATAGGGCAGGAACATCTTGTCACAGAAAACCAGGGAAGTATTCCAAGACTGGGGGACAAGTCAAAGGACTCATTGGCCAACATGAATCGGCTCCCACTAAACAGAATAGGACAATTTGGGTACCAAAAGAAAAATAACTGCAGTGGATTAAAACCCATCAAATATATTAAAATCTATAAGTTTATAATGTTAAAAAAAGCTCAGTTGCAGAAAGAAAAATAAAAGTAGAAAACCGATCTAATTCAATTAAGATAATGTATAAAATGATTAGAAAATTTAAGGTCCAATTAAAAACACTTTGTAGCAGTGTTTGAGAGTATAAAATTATAAATGATTAAATGATTTGGGTTGAAATAATCTCATAGGTTCTTTTCAGCTTTAATTTTTTAATTTTAAAATTTGCATATTTTTTTCACTATATTTCTTTTTTCTTCTTCTTTTTTTTTTTGTTTTGCTATGTGAGGAAGATCAGCCCTGAGCTAACATCTGTTGCCAATCCTTCTCTTTTTGCTGAGGAAGACTGGCCCTTAGCCAACATCCGTGCCCATCTTCCTCCACTTTATATGGGTCGCCACCACAGCATGGCTTGACAAGCAGTGCCTCACTGCGCGCCCAGGATCTGAACCCTCCCCCACCCCCCCACGGCACAGAGTGCGTGCACTTAACTGCTACCCCACTAGGTCGGCCCCTCTTTTTTCTTCTTCTTGTGACTAGTATAATGTTGTTAGACTTTGTTCTATTTGACTTTGTGTTACATGCAATATTTCTCTTAAAATTGATAATTTTACTAAAAAATGTTAAAATATAGGAAAAAAGCCAAATGTTAATTATATAGAGCAGAAATTGCCAAACCATTTGTATAACAGACCAGATAGTAAAAATTTTAGGCTTTCCTGGCTGTCTCTGTCACAACCACTCAACTCTGCCTTTGTAGCTGAAAGCAGCCAGAGACAGTCTGAAAATGCATACATTTATTGGCTGTGTTCCAATAAAACTTTATTTACAAAAACAGGCACAGGCCTTGATATAGAGTATTAGGGTATTTTTTGTTTGTTTATTTTTCTAAACTTTTTTGTCTTCCTTTCTAGGTATAAGGGACCACTGTTAGAAGAGCAAGCTCTTACCAAGGCAGCAGAAAGTGGACTGTCTTCACCTGAATTTTCAGAGCTCTGTGTTTGGTTAGGCTCTCAAATAAAATCATTGTGCAACTTGGAAGAAAGTATCACTTCAGCTGGTATTGCCATTGTGTTTTATTTACTTTTCTGTTTAATAGTAAAATGAAATGATAGCTTATGATTTACAGTTTTATCTACAATGTGCCCCTGTACAAAGAAAAATCATTAATATTATGAACTTCAGTATGTGATATTAAATATCTTTGGATTAAGCTTTATATTAATCCAAAATTGGTTCTTAAGTTTGTATGAATTTATAAACGATTACTGTTTATCTGTTGTCTTAACTTTACTATTGATCTTTAGAAAAAGTTGAGTCTGAATTTGATTATTTAAAAAGTTTAATTTTTGAATACTGCTGATTTTGAATTAAGGTGTTTTTTTTTTTAAAGTATGTGTAATCTTTAAGTTGTATTACCAAGGCTGTAACTCAGGACATGGGTTCACCTGGGAATACTTTTATAAAAAAACTTCTGTACTAGCTCCTAAAAGTTTAATTCATTACTATCTTGGTAACTGGAGTGCTTGTGGGTCTTTTCATTGGTAGATTTTCAGATAGTGTAATAAAATGAAAAAAAAAAATCATTGGGCATTTGCTAGGGGACAAACTAGCCCTCCCTTCTAAAGTATCCTTACTTTTAAATTGTTTTTTTCCTTGCCAAATCTAATCGAATTCACTTGAAGCAAATTAAAATAAGCTGACTTCAAAACTATGACACAAGTTCCTACATAATTAGATTATGAAAGAAAGATAAGCAGTGAGGCTTAATTAGATGATTGCATTTATTGTCTGAATCCATAGAAATATATCATTTGCTCTGAAGCCAGTTAATAATTATAGCCATAATAATGCTTTTAATATTTCAGTTACATGAAATATTTTCAGTTTATCTCCTTTTATGGAAAGTCTATTGGAAAATACTTATCAGGGATTTAAACATAAAAATATTTATAATCTCATGATTAGATACTTATGTTCTTAAATTTAAGTGTTACCTTCTATATGCAGAAATTGTTTGGTTACCTTTACCTAAGCTTTGGAGTCACACATGTAAAGATTTAATGTCAAAGTGAAAATTTAGAAATGAATGTAAAATTGAAATCAACTAGTGGTAGATTTTATATTATCAGATTATATGATAAATATTCAGTAAATGTTTTATGATTTTTATTTTTAAAGGGAGAGATGATTTAGAAAGCTTCCAGCTTGAGATAAGTGGTTTTTTAAAAGAAATGGCATGTCCATATTCTGTACTCATATCAGGAGATATTAAAGACCGTTTAAAAAAGAAGGACGACTGTTTGAAACTTCTATGTAAGTTATCTTTCTTTAAACATTTAAATGCATGTGTTTGATCTGGTTTTTGTTATTTTCAAGTCAAGATTTATGAAATTTCATTAATAAAGCATTAGACATTTTCTGTATTAAAAGCTTTTAATATTTGACTTAAAAAATGAAACTGACTCACATATTTATATAGAAGTAGTATAAATGCTACTAATATACTTTCTAAGATTTCTAACACTTATGATTTATTTGGCCAATATAGAATACCCTGTGTTTGTGATTTATACAGTATTTTAGTAATTTTTTCTTTACCTAATTCATCTGTTAGCATTTATGACTAGATGGCTAAAGTTGGTGATCTCTGAAGTCCTATTTAATCTTAAAACTTTCTGAAACTAGGCTGCTAAACAGATTATTAGATCTCATTTTTAGTGATAGGCACTGAATGATAGTTGGTTCAAAAATATTTATTGATCACCTACTATTGTACCAGAAACTGCTCTAGGCACTAGGGATATATCAGTCAAAAAAAAAAAAAGGTGCCCTTGGACCTCTTGAATTCTAGTGAGTGTGGCCTGTTTTTGTCAGAGGTGAATTTGGATTATAGATTACTCTATATCCAAATAATTACTGTAAATAATAGATACATTTATTTGTGTTGGCTCCATTCAAAAATTTTTTAATTTAGTTTAATTTCTTTTTTGAAAGTTCTACAAACAATAACCATTTGAAAGAATTTTTATAACATCTGTTATTGGAGATTTCTATTATTTTAGGTTGTACCATTTATAAAAAGGTCCACGTGATGTATTCCTCCTAGGCGGTAGTGTTAGTAATGTTTGTTTCATTAGAGCAGAAATTATGTATATATTTAACTAGTGGTGATGAAAGAAGTGTTGGCATTTGAATTACCTTGTATGTGTTGAGGGGGATAAAAATTATGTGTCTGCCCCATTTCTTGCACTGTTTCCCTATCTTCCTCCCATTCAATGTGAGTGACTGATTTAATGAACCACTGTTATTAATGAGAAGTCATTAAGCCTTAGGTGTATTGGGACAGAAAGGAAGTAAAGAAGCAGTGGCCTAGAGGAACTTGCTTATTCTTTATGTCAGTCAGTGAGAACTGTGTAATCCATCATGTTTCCCTTTTTGCCTTAGTTGCGAAGAAACTCAGCAACACTGGTAATATAGGTTTCTGGTACAGTAAAAGTAAAGAGGAGATATAAGAGAAGTTGGTATAGTTTTTCCTGATTATGAAAATATGCGCTCGGGAGGCGAGGTGAAATGAAGAGTTAGTGTTTAATGGGTACAGAGTTTTAGTTGGGGAAGATGAAAAAGTTCTGGAGATGGATAGTGGTGATGGTTGCACAACAGCATGAATGTACTTAATGCCACTGTACACTTGAAAATAGTTAGAATGGTAGCTTTTGTTATATGTTAAAAAATTACACACTTATCTTACAAAGTAGATAAAATTATAAAGAAGAAAATCATTTATAATCTCACTCCCCAGAGAGAATCATAAATGACTTTCTAGTGTATTTCCTTTTCTTTCTCTTTTTCCTTTGTACCTACATGTTTAAATAAGACTGAGATCCTATTACAGATGCAGTTCCTTCTCCTCCTCTTCCTTTAATGTATTGTAAGCATTTCCCCATCACTTAATATTTTTTTGAAAAAATTTAAATTTGCTACATAACATTCTATGCTATGGACATGATATTTTTATTCAATAGATTTCAAATTTGGGGGTATTTGGATTTTTTCTATTTTGAATTAATTTCTTTGTTCATATTTTTACTTAGGCAAAGATTATGAACATTTAAAAAATATTATGAACATTTATCTCTGGTCTAGGTATATATTGCCATATTTTGTTCCAGAAACGTTCTACCAGTTCAGGATCTTACCAGCATCTGTTCCGTCTTTATCTTTAGTTTGACTGTCTTTAAAACATATTGATATAATAAGCTTCTTCATGTTCTTCTTGGAAGTGTTTGCAACATGTACAAAATAAGAAGGACCAAATTCTCTACAATGTAGAAAGCTTTATAAATCAAGAAGAAAAACTCACTGGAAAAATGTGTAAAGTACAGAAGATGTGAACAGGCATTCTGCAGAAAGAAATTTTTTAAAAGTTGCTTCTACACGTGAAAAGATGCACAGTATCCCTCAAAGATTAAAGAGTTACAAAAATAAAATGACAGGATACCATTTTTCGCTTACCAGGTTAGCAAATACCAAAAAAAAAGAAAAGTCATAGTACAAGTTTGGGAGAGTAAGCATTCTCGTATACTATAGGGAGTGGAGTGTGGTAGGAGATTAACTGGTACAACCTTTTAGAAGGGCAAATTTTCAGTATCACAATTGAAATTCACCTGCCTTTTGACTTGGCAATTCCATGACTAGGGGTACATATTTATTTCCCTAAGTGTACAATGATACATGAAAAGGATGTTCATTAGGGCATTGTTTGTAGTAGTTAAATAGAAATGGTACATCTTTGCAGTGATACCACTATATAGCCATTAGAGTGAAAATAGATCAAATGTGGTGATATGGAATCATCACTAAGATAAATATGCAGAACATGTATAGTATGCTCTTATTTGTATAAAAGAAATAAAAATGCATAGATGGTAGATATGTATTCTAATTGTACATACACATACACATATATGCCTAAAAAGATACCCAAGAAACTAATAATGTTGATTGCCTCTGGGGTGGGGGAATCTGAGGATCTATGCTGGGAAGAAGACTTTTCAATTGTTTATCATCTGCATGGATCAGTATGTTAAATACTAGACTGAACTCTTGTTTGTACTGTTACGTAGAGTTCGTTTCCACAGAACAAAGGCGGACTTGAGCCAAGGTTCTGTCAAAAATATAAATGTTTGAAGAACTGATGATCTGTTTCAATGAAGTTTTGAAATCAGAGGGACCTTGGCATGGTCCTCATAAGCAAAGTTTGATACATATTGGTCTTAACTTTTCGTGGGCTCTTTAGACTGTGTCGTGTAGATTACATGGAGAAGTCTTTCAATTGGTGGCACTCAATCAGAGTCTTACATATTCTTATACTTTCTTAAATTGTTGACTTACTGGTGGGTCTCTTCTAATGGACTTTAAACTCTTTGTGGGTGGGCACTGTCCCTTTTTTTTTTAAGGTTCCTCCTGCCCTCTTTAGAATTATTTCATTTTGTGATAAGAACATTTAACATAAGATCTACCCTCTTAGCAAATTATTAAGTATACATTATAGTATTGTTAACTCTAGGCACTATGCTGTAAAGTAGATGTCTCCTTATTCATCTTGTATAACTGAAACTTATAACTTATTATAACTAATAGCTCCGTTTCCCCCTTCCCCTGGCCTCTAGCAACTACCTCTCTCCTTTATGAGTCTGACTGTTTTAGATTCCTCATAAAAGTGATAGCATGTAGTATTTGTCCATCTCTGTCTGGTTTATTTCACTTTGCACAGTGTCCTCCAGGTTCATCCATGTTGTCATAAATGGCTGGATTTCCTTGTTTTTTAAGGCTGAATAATATTCCTTTGTATGTATGTACCACATTTTCTTTATCCATTCATCTGTCGAAGGACACTTAGGTTGTTTCCATATCTTGGCTGTTATGAACAATACTGCAGTGAATGTGCTAGTGCAGATCTCTTTGAGATCCTGATTTCATTTCCTTTGGATATATACTCAGAAGTGAGATTTTTTAAGGGGTTCTTGTGCATTTTAACATATTTCTTTTTCCCTTTTTTTGTTGTAGTATTTTTAAGTACAGAACTTCAAGCTTTACAAATATTACAGAACAAGAAATGTAAAAATTCTCAATTAGCTAAAAACAGTGAAATTTATCAGGAAGTTCAAGCTATCTGTGATACCCTTGGTGTACCCAAGTCAACAACTTCTGACATTCCGCTTATGCTAAATCAAGTGGAGTCAAAGGTATTGTATTTGTTTTATTTTTCATTTCCCAAAAATTCAACTGAATGCTAACATGTAAATATTGTATTAAAAATGAAAATATTTCCTTTAAGTGTAAGATGTACATTCAACTTCAAAAAGTTTATCTTCCTGTAAACTAAATTTTACATTTGGACTTAATATGTATGTGAACTAACTTGCCTATAGCTAATATTCAAGAATCAGATCTTAATGAGTGAATGCCCTTAGGCTTTGTGAGAGTTTGCCGTGATAGAAATCACTTTACAATTTTAAGGATCTCTTTCCTCAACAAGGTTGAAATACAGTATAATGAAAGAAGTAGAGTTATCCTACAAAGTCAAAGGCAAACTAAATTTTTTTTAACGGATGTTGTTAATAGGAGTGCAGTGTGGTTGTCTTTGGCAGGGAGCAAGCACAATGTCTGGTGGATAAGTGTTTGTTGTATAGTGAATAAATGAATGAATACCCTGATGAAGTAGTTAAAAACAACCACAAATTTTTCAAGCTTTTTGAATTTTTTTTTTCAATTATTAAACTACCCTTGTTCCCAGTTGAGCCATATATTGAGAGAATGCTACTCTTGCAGACCAAATTCTGGCCTAGTTCCTAGGTTTCCTAGGAGTCCTCCAGGGAAATAATACAGGATTCATTTTTAAAGGAAAAAAAAATTCTCACCCTCAAGAATAGTTACCAAACCTCCATTTTTAGACATGCTGCTTTAAACTAAATCTTTGAATAATGTACTCTTGCATTGATAATTTGTGAACTGAAAAATAAAAAGATTTGTCTGAATGAATGTAAGAGAATTTTAGTATTATTAAGATGAAAACACGGGCCGGCCCTGTGGCTTGGTGGTTAAGTGCGCGCGCTGCGATGCTGGCGGCCCGGGTTTGGATCCTGGGTGCGCATCGAGGCACCACTTCTCCGTTCATCCTGAGGCCGAGTCCCACATGCAGCAACTAGAAGGATGTGCAGCTACGACACAGAACTATCCACTGGGGCTTTGGGGGGAAAAAATAAAATAAATAAAATCTTTAAAAAAAAAAAAAAAAAGATGAAAACACAATATTAAAAACTTTTTTGGTAGAACTTGCAAATGAAAGAATAAGTCTTTGAATCCCAGCTCAAAAACATTGTTCTGAAGTTAAGAAGTTACTCTTCAGAGTTTTTTTCTGTTTTTCTTTGGATTAAGGCTGATCTGGGATTGGCTAAAATGTCTGGAACTGTTTCAAAGTGAGACAGATTTTTGAGCTCTTCCTAATCTTCCAGTGCTTCCATGTATTGATCCCAAAGAGGCTTGTCCCTTTTGTGGGGTTTAGTTAGTATTAGCAATATCCCCAAACCTCTCTTTTGCCTACTTGAAGCAGGCTGTAATGCCTATGTTCACATGCTGGCAGTTTAATTATAAGGTAGCTGTTATTGTGGCCGTCGTAGCCAAATATTTACCTAAAGGACTTCCTTCTCCATTCAGTCCTATCAAAAGCAAAAACTTCTGTGTTTTCTTTCTTCTACGTGTGATGTGTCCAGAAGACACGTTACCATTGGGGAAGAAAATGATCATTATTTTTAACTTGAAGCTGTTCAAATGTGAATCTAAAGTAATTATAGTAATATTAACAACATATAGCATTTACTGTTCTAAATGTTTATATGTGGGCCAGCCCTGTGGTATAGTGGTTAAGTTCGGCGCGCTCCACTTCTGTGGCCCGGGTTCGCGGGTTCAGATCCTGGGTGTGCACCTACACCACTCATCAAGCCTTGCTGAGGTGGTGACCCACATAAAAAATAGAGGAAGATTGGCACAGAAGTTAGCTCAGGGCTAATCTTCCTCAAGCAAACAAAGAGGAAGATTGGCAACAGATGTTAGCTCAGGGCGAATCTTCTTCACCAAAAGAGAAAATAATGTTTATATGTAATAACTCATTTAATTCTCACATCACCTATAATAAGGTAGGACTATTATTATCTACAACAGCCGTATGAGGAAACTGAGGTACTGAAAGATTTAATAAAGTAGACAAGCAAGTTTCTGAATAGTAATGGTAGACCTGAGGTTTGAACCCAGGCAGTCAGCCTCAGAGTCCCTGCTGTTAACTCCCTGCCTGTCACAAGTAATTCTCAAACTTACTAAAACCATTATCTAGTGTTGAAATTCTTAGAATGGAGCTGAATGTGATTACATGTAAGAAACTACAAGTGTGCCTCAGAATCCCTCTTGTGTGAGGAATTACAAGTAAAACTTCTAGTAATACATGAAATAACATAATCAAAATTGGAGGTATTTACAATAGTTGGATAGCAATGGTATATTTTAAGAAAATGATAATTCTTTACAATATGTAAAAATCATATTAGTAATTGTATCATTGTAGAGGTAGATTTGCTGTGCTGCTAATAAAGCTTTGGGGCTTCTCATTTGCACAGGTTCTTTCTAAGCTAATTTTTTAAAAATAGCTTTCTCAAGATAAGATATTCATGCCATAAAATTCACCCATTTTAAGTGTATAATTCAATGATTTTAGTATATTTACAGAGTACAGCCATCATCAAAATCTAATTTTACGACATTTCCGTCACCCTCAAGAGAAATTTTGTACCCAGTTAACAGTCACTCCCCATTACTGCCACCAGCCTCAAAGCTAATTTGTCTTCATAGTTTTTAATTCTTTTTCTTAAAGAGTGCCTCCAAAATTATATAAGCTTTATACTCCTCAAAATCTGAACTGCTCTTTATTGTTTTCTCTAGTTACTTTATAACCAAGAAACTAAATATTTTGTTGAGTTTTGAAGTATTTTCTTTTGATAGTGAAGGATTTTCCACTTAGGAGAGTGAGCCCAACTTAGATTGTCATTTCTTAGTAATTTTCTTCATGATAAATTGCTATTGTTGGAATGACTCCTGATATTGCTGAAGCAAAAGCAAATGCCTAATCTTGTTCACCAAAATAAAAATGTTTCAAGTAATTCAAATTAGTGGCTTTGCAAAAGTAGTGAAATATGTATATGGTGACTGTAATTGAGAGGGCTTGCCATCCTATATTGTCTTGCTGAACAGCGAAACCGGAATACTTATAATTAGAATGTGTACATAGTATTTAATTGAGAGAAATCAATGTGCTCTTCAAAGGTTTTAGCATCTTTTTTGAGAAGTTACCAGGATGTAAGACAGTGCTATCTGAAGAAGAAACCAAACTTATTTCACATAAAGCACACAGATTCTTATAGTAAAACCTTTTAGTAGCTAGTTTTTTAGTTGTCTATGTACATTATTTCTTATTCTGGAAAAGAAGGTATGCTATAGCCTGAATTAATATAACTAATGCTTCTTTACATTTTATGTATTCTCTAGCATTCAGAACAACATTTTAAGCAAGAATAAGATTGTTTTAAATTCGGGTTATACATTTTTACAATCTTTTATATTTACTTTTAGGTGAAAGATATTCTCTCAAAAGTCCAGAAAAATCATGTGGGAAAACCACTGCTGAAAATTGATTTAAATCTGGAACAGGCGGTAAATCTCTCCCCTTTTATTAGTTTTATGTAATTAAATTAGTGAATACAACTTAATTTTATAGCTAGACATCTAGATTTTACAGTATGTAGCATGCATTTATTATTTTGGAGAATTAAAATAGATTGATATTCTAGAGTAATATGTCCTAACATTTCTTCAATCAGATTATTAATTTTAAAAATACCAACCAAGAGTATTTATAGTGCCCAGTACGTTAGCATAGTTGTGACTTGAAAAGGATAGTAGCTCAAAGCCAACAAGATGGGAAGTTGTTGGTATTTTTGTTCCTTATTCGTTCAGACACTTAGCAAGTAGATGTTTCACTCAAATTAACATGTTTGATTGAAGATGAGGCAAATTCTACCAATTGTAGAGTTTAATTTAATGTTTAATATTTTCTGAATATCATAAATGTTCTATCAAATACTCTTTATTTAAATAATTTACTGTGTTGGGCCGGCCCTGTGGCTTGGTGGTTAAGTGCGCGCGCTGCGATGCTGGTGGCCTGGGTTCGGATCCCGGGTGCGCATCGAGGCACCACTTCTCCGTTCATCCTGAGGCCGAGTCCCGCATACAGCAACTAGAAGGATGTGCAGCTACGACATACAACTATCCACTGGGGCTTTGGGGGGAAAAAAATAAAATAAATAAAATCTTTAATTAAAAAAAAAAAATAAATAAATAAATAATTTACTGTAAAGTCTCATGGGGTCAGAAAATGATCATTAAGTACAATATCTTTTGAATTAGTAGGAAGTATTGACCACAATTTTCAAATTTCTTTTCTGTGCATCATGAATCTAAAGTTTATGATTTTTGTTTCCAAATTCTTTAGAAACAACTGGAAAGAATCAACGATGCTCTTTCCTGTGAATATGAGTGCCGCCGGCGGATGTTGATGAAACGATTAGATGTGACAGTGCAGTCTTTTGGATGGTCTGATAGAGCAAAGGTAAGGCTGTTTTCCCATCTGTGTCCTGCAGGTGGTACTCTCTGATAGCTCTTCAGGCTTTCTTGTCTGTTATTATGTAACTGTCACATTTGCACATTATCACTCTGTCTGCCTCACATGCCCAGGCCAACTGCTGGTCTTATGTAATCATTCTGGTCTTGTATAAATCCCTGTTTGCAAATATCTTAATTTCTCCCCATATCTTTCACATTGATTTTGAACTTACAGATGTTGTGATTTATGCAAGGATAGGCATAAAAGAAGGGGCATCATATGAGACTGTGAGATAGATATAGTGAGCAAATGGTCAAGAAAGCAGGAGATGGGGATAGGTACAGGTAATACTGATGCCTGAACAAGTCTTCTTAAAAGTGTCTTAAGGCTGTGGAGTGTGTTTCAATTGAAGAGGGGGTTGGAGGGTGGGGCATTCCCAAATATGAATCTCTTCAGATAGCTATCTAGAGAGCTATCTGCCATCACTCCCATTTTATACCTTTAACCTGAACTCAGACCTTGTCTGGGATCCCCTGACCCACCCTGCATCATAGTCTAGAAACTCTCCAGACAGTAAGCTGGAACAGTTATAGGGCTCACCTCCTTGGCTTCCCTGGTTTCAGGGATCACTGTCCTGTGCTCCTTGATGTCCAGTGTCTGAAAATCCCTAGTTCACATGGGTTGTCCAGTTTTAGAATTGTTTCAGGTAGGAGGGTAAATCTGGTACCTTTTATTCTCAGATATTATTATTACATTCTTTGGATTAACTGGACAGTTCTTGTGCCCCATGTTGTATCACTGGGATCACTTTTGCATCTTCATTCATCTGGTGCCTGGTCTGGGCTAGAACATCCAAGATGGTTGTCTCACACATCTGGGTTCTATTGACTGTCTGCTGGGGTGTTTTGGTTGTCTTCTTGGCTCTTATGTGTTCTCTCTCTCTCCATGTGGTGTCTTGTATTGGTTTCTTATGGCTGCTGTAACAAATGACCATAAACTTAGTGGCTTAAATAATACACATTTATTCTCTTACAGTTCTACAGATCAGAAGTCTTAAAATGAAGGTATTGGCAGAGTTGCATTCTTCCTGGACGCTTCAGGGGAGAATCTATTTCTTTGCATTTCCTAGGTTCCAGATGCCACCTGTGTACCTTGGCTCTTGACCTCATCCTCCATCTTCAAAACCAGTACTGTAGTATCTTCCAGTATCTCTCTCTGCTTCTGTCGTCAGATCGCCTTCTGCTGTCTCGGACACTCTTGTCTCTCTCATATTAGGATACTTATGATTACACTGGGCCTGCCTAGATAATCCAGAATAATCTTTCCATCTCAAGGTCCTTAACTTAATTACATCTGCATCTGCAAGGTAACATATTCAAAGGTACCAGGGATTAGGATGTAGACATTGGGGGGCCATTATTCAGTTTACCAGATGTCTCATCTTCCTTCTAATTGGATTTTATTTTTTCTTGCATTGTATTTCTCTATCATATGCTGCTGCTGCTTTTTTCTTTTTAAGTATACTTTTTAAAATCAGGTATTCTAATGTGTCCTCCATTTTCTGTATACTTTCCCTCCCAAAAGCTTTATCTTCCAGTTGCAATCTTGGCTGTTTGCATGGCTATCCTTGGCTACTCCACTATATCCTGGACCCCACGGCCTCCTCTTTCATTGTTTATTCCCTCATTCTGCTGTAGTAAATCCACAAATAACTTCCTAACAAAGGGTGCATAGGAGGTGATTTGCTGAATCCTTGCATTCTGAAAATATGTTTATTCTGCTGTCACATTTGATTGATAGTTTGGGTAAATATAAAATTCTACATTGAAAACATTTTTCTCTAAGAATATTGAAGGCATTGCTTCATTGTTTTCTAGCATTTAGTGCTCCTTTTGAGAAACCTGATGCCGTTCTCTGTCCTTTTGGGTGACCTTTTATCTTTCTCTGGAAACTTTTGGGCTCTTTTCTCTACGCTTGGAGTTCTGAAATTTGACAATATGCGTTGGTCTGGTTTTTTTTAATTCATTGTGCTAAACACTAGGTGGACTTTTCAATCTGTAGACTCTTAGCTTTTATATTTTTCTTTATTAATTTCTTCCCTTTTGTTTTCTTTTTCTGAAACTCTTGTCAGATATTGGACATCTTGAATAGATCTACTTAAGTTGCTTTATTTTTTCTCTCATTTTCCTTCTCTTTCCCTTTTTGATTCATTTTCTTGGAAATATCCTCAATTTTATTTTGTACTTGATATTGAATTTTTGTTTCTGCTGTCATTTTTTAAGTTCCAGGAATTCTTCTTTGATTTTTGAGTTTTTCTGTTTCATGTTTTTTTTTCCCTTGTTTTATAGATGTGCTTTCCTCTTGAATGAGGATAAAAAATTAAAAAAAATTTTTTATGCCTTCAGTTTTCTGTTTCCTCCAGGGTAACTTTTTGTTTTTTTTTCCTTCTCTCTCTCTCTCTCTCTCCCTCTCCCTCTCCCCCTCTCCCCCTCTCCCTCTCTCCCTCTCCCTCCATATTTAAGAGCAAGGCATTGAAAAACTGATTGGGAACTACGGTCGTTGATAAGGATTATTGACATCAGCTTTGAATCTGGCTAGTGGGAATGCCAACTTGTAGAAGTCTTTTCTATGTAGCTGCTCATTTTTTCAAGAAGGAAAAACTCATTTTTCCTCCACATTTGTTTTCCTTTGGCCGGGGGTGGGGAGTGGCAGCATGGCACCAGGGGTTGGAGGAATAGACTATTCCACAAATAGACTGATTTAACCCCTATTTTCAGCTCCAGATTTCATTTTCTGAGATGTTAGTTCCCTTCTTATCTGTATCCCTCTTTTCTGTTCTCTTTGTTATAGTATATGTGTACCTTTTTATAATTTAGTGTGTTCAATTTGACTCATTTACCTAGAAATACTCCCTCGCGTGTTGAACATAGAGACTCTTCCAGATACCTGGCAGACAGGTACAGAAAGTTGAACAGTGATTAGAACAGGTTTGCTGGGGCCGGCCCCATGGCTTAGCGGTTAAGTGGGCACGCTTCACTACTGGCAGCCCGGGTTCGGATCCCGGGTGTGCACCGATGCACCGCTTGTCCCGCCATGCTGAGGCGGTGTCCCACATACAGCAACTAGAAGGATGTGCAACTATGACATACAACTATCTACTGGGGCTTTGGGGAGAAAAACAGAAAAAAGGGAGGAGGATTGGCAATAGATGTTAGCTCAGGGCCGGTCTTCCTCAGCAAAAAGAGGAGGATTGGCATGGATGTTAGCTCAGGGCTGATCTTCCTCACAAAAAAAAAAAAAGAACAGGTTTGCTGGTGAAAACTATTACTTCAGAGAAAAATTTTTTTAGCATAGTAATAGAATAGCTATAAGGCAGAGTTGAAGACTGTGTCATTCATGTATTTTCTTTCAGTAAACATTTATTTAGCACCTCATATGATGGTAACTGGTTCTGGATGAGCATCTCAATATTCTATATGATTAGGTATAGAACATTTTTAGAAGAGTTCTGTATCTGTAATACCTAATCAGCTTCTCAGATGGATAAAGCCTGTTTTTTGTCCTGCATGTGCACTAGGATAAACTCCAGAGATGTGTGTGTGTGTCCAAGTCACTGAAGTGACTGTTGTATGCAAGAAGCCCAGATTGTCTAAGAGCTGTGAGTTACCAAAGAAGTAGATGACATGATTGCTAACCTCAAGAAATGTAATCGAGTTCAGATGTGAGGGAGGTACCAGTTTTACTGACCTCCAGAAACTTTATAGGGGTTGTATACATGTTGGGTCTCCAGTGTAACCTGATAGAATTTTAATGGTAAAAAGGAATTTAGGAATATAAGGAAAATTGTGAAAGGCAGTGCATTAAAAGTGTCTTAACATACTGACTTAGAGGATGTTTTTATTGTTGGCCCTGAGTTTACAGAGAAATCCAAAACGACTTGGTTTTGACATGTTTTTTTCTTTAAATATTCAGAGTGGCATGCTCTCATGGGCATGTTGATTCTTTACTAGCCTTAAACTTGGGGACTTTGAGAAAATATGCCTTGAGGAAATATCTTGATATTTTATCTTCTCATCTTGGTCTTTTTTCATCATGTTTTAGGATAAGGAGCTTGTCTGTTTGTTCTTTTCTCCATAGTCTGGAAGGTTTTTTTAAAATACTTTTTCTTAGGCTATTTATAGGTCAATTTTGGCCTTGCATTTGATCCTTTTCAGTTTATTATCTGAGTATATGGATTTGTATCCTGAATTTTCTTTTCTTATTAAATTTAATATATCTTTATTATTTTATCCCTATTTCATGAATCTGATATTGTTGAATGACTCATGAAATATTGTTCTACAGCATTTTAAATCTTTGCAGAATATTTTCTCATAAACATATACTCTATTGATTGACATTGAGGTTTCCTTCCATTTTGTCTCATTTGACCATTTAATGAAATCCTTGGCAGCTAAATTTTTGTTCATGTCCATGATATAGTCCTAAAAGTAATTTCTTATCAAAGAATATGCATGATTTTAATGCTTTTGATGCATACTCCAGAGTTGCCTTTCAAAAAGCTTATACATATTTATTAGTATGGTTAATCTAGTTTCTTTTCTCTGTTATTGTGCTAGTATTGAGATAAGACTGTGAGTATAATTTTATAGTTTGCTTTTTTCACTGAATATATTGTGATCATTGTCCCATATCTCTAAAAGGTCTATTTCAATACTCTTTTTAAAATTAATTTTTAATTTATTTCCTATTTTTTGAGATATCGTTCACCATCTTAAAGTGTAGAATTCAGTGGTTTTTAGTATATGCACTGTATTGTGTAACAATTATCACTGTCTCATTCCAGAACATTTCCATTACCCCAGAAAGAAACACACACCTGTTAGCAGTCATTCCCAATATCCCCTATGTCCCTTCCTTGGTAACTACTGCTATGATCTGCTTTCTGTCTCTTTGAGTTTGCCTATTCTGGACATTTCATATAAATGGAATCGTACAATATGTGGCTTTCTGCATCTGGCTCTTTTTTTTTGGTGAGGAAAATTGGCCCTGAGCTAACATCTGTTGCCAATCTTCGTCTTTTTTGCTTGAGGAAGATTGTCGCTGAGCTAACATCTGTGCCAGTCTTCCCCTGTTTTTGTATGTGGGATGCTGCCACAGCATGGCTCGATGAGCGCTGCATATGTCCACGCCTGGGATCTGAACCTGCGAACCCAGGCTGCCGAGGCAGCATGCGTGAACTTAACCACTATGCCACTGGGCCAGCCCCTGCATCTGGCTTCTTAGCATAATGCTTTCAGCGTTCATCTGTGTTGTTGCATGTAACAGTACTTGCTTTCAGTATCCTTTTTATGGCTGCATTATATGTTATTATATAGTGATGCCATAATTTACTTAACTTTCTTTATATATGTTTTTCCTATATTAACTAACACCAGGAATATTACTGTGTGTAAGTCTGATTTGTAAATTTCAAAGTATATTCTTATGGTGGATTACTAAATGAAAATTTACTGTGTCAAAGGTTGTGACTCTTAATGCTCTAGATTCACGTGGTCGAATTGTTTTTTTAGAAAGTTTGTATGAATTTAAACTCCTACCAGTAAGGTAAATGAAATTTTGTCTTCACTTTAGTCTCTTTAATGTTTAGAATATTATCAGTTTTATTGCTAACTTGATGGTTAAAAAAGATTAAATTGTTTTAATTTGTATATTTTTATTATTGGTAAAGTTGAACTTTTTTCACAAGCTTATTAGTCATTTGAGTTTCCTCTTTTTTTGAAATTTCTATTTGTGTCTTGTCTTTTGTTTCCCCCCTTAGAGTCTTCCTGTTTTCCTTTTGATTGAGCTTTTTATATATGAAGGAAGTTAGCTAGTTGCTTTATTTGTTGAAAATATTTTCCCCCATTGTCTTTTGGTTTTGTTTTATGTCTTTTGATGTATAGAAACTTTAATTTTTATAATGTAGTTAAGTTTTTCAATTTAAAATAAAACCTTAAACAATGAACTCTTTATTGTATTTGGAATTCTGTTTGTTATACATAGTGTGCCTTATTGTTATTATTTTTACAAGTAGCCAACAGTTCATTTCAGCACCATTTAAAAAATAATCCATCCCTCTTCTCGCTGATCTTTGATGCCTCCTCTATCATTTATTGCACTCATACATTTATGAGGCTCTGAATCTCAGTTGCCTATTTTGTTTCATGAATCTTTTTTTCCCCCAAGTTCCATTTCATTAGACTGAGGTAGAATAGTATACTGTTATCTGTACACCTGTGCTTGGGAGTCAGATAGACCTTTATTAGTAAGTGGGCAGAGCTGAGATTCTTCCTGTATTTTTGAGAAACTATTTAAGCTTTTTAAGCTTCATTTTTTTTCTGTCTGCAAAAGGGGATAATAAAAACAACCACTCTAAAAGGATGTTTTGAAGATTAAAGAAATAGTGACTATTAAGTGAACAGTATCATGGCACTAAGTACTCAATGAATGTTAGCTGTTATGACGATGATAATTTCATATTGCATATTAGCATCTGATAGAACTCTTCTTTTTCAAAGTTCTTTTAGTCATCCTTACATATTTAGTTTCTGGATTAACTTTAGATTCTTTTTTATTTTTCATCCTCTCAAAAACCATTCCAATAGGATTGCAGTAAACCTATAAGTTAATTTGGGGGAAAACTGACAGTACTCAGTGTTCTCATCCAGAAACTTGGTATTTCTCTCCATTTATTCAAGTTTTCCTTTTGTTTTTATAAGATAAGATTTACTGTTGTTTTCTTCTTAAAGGTGCTGTATGTGCTTTTGGTAAAGCTATTTTTAGGTCTTTTGTTTTTTGTTAATATGAGTGGAATCTTTTCTGTGTTACTTTTTAAATGAGTTGTTACTGGTAGTTATGTATTCTTTTAGCATCTGTTGGTCTGTTTTTTTCATTCTGCATACAAAATATCAGATATTTGAGTGTTTTGCTCTTTTCTGTTTCTTTGCTTGTGCATTATCTCCTCTTTTCCTTTCTGAAGATTATGATTGTCATTGCTCTTCCACTGACACGTTTTTTGTTCTTTTTTCCCCCTAACCTTTGTCATTTAGGTAAAAACAGACGACATAGCAAGAATTTACCAGCCTAAGCGTTATGCTTTGTCACCCAAGACAACAATCACATTGGCACATCTACTTGCAGCTCGTGAAGATCTATCCAAGATCATTAGGACAAGTAGTGGCACCAGCCGGGAGAAGACGGCCTGTGCCATTAATAAGGTTGGTTTTTCTTTCAGTACAGTGGAGAATGAATTTATAATATCCTTCTTTGATGTTTTTACAGATTTTAATCCATTTTTCTTTTGCATCCTGGTTGAACTCCTAGAGAAGGGACTGGTAGAGGGGCTTCAGTCCATCTAGGCTTAGTTATCTGTTGTGTGTATGCATTCATTTGAATTTCTGTATTCATAAATGAAACCAAAGTTTTATCTGAATTAGAGGAATTAAGAATTGTTTTTATTAATAGGTTTAGCAAGAATTATTTGCCTTCTTTCCAAGAATGTAATCATTTTTTGTCAGGAAAAATCTGTAAGAATCTTTTCAGGTACTGACTGATTCCTTATATCCTTGGTATAAAGGGAAAAGTACATGCTTTGGAGTCATACAAATCTGGGTTCACATCCTAGCTCTATCCTTTGCTTTTAGAGGAATCACGTTGCGCAAGTTACTCAATCTCTTGGAGGTTCCGTTTCCTGATTCACACTATAGATCCGTTTCTTTGATAGTGTTCTTAAACAAGCTCAAAGAGTCTGAATTTTTCCCTTTATAACAGCAGCAACAACAATAATCTAGAATATTTATGTCAGCTTGAGTAGCATGTACTCTCCATTGAGATAGAGCACTCTATGGCAAACTTGATTACAAAAGAGCAAAAAATCACAAATAAGGGATTTGAGTAATTTTAAAACCTTCTTTCTCACTCGGGGTAGTGAGAAAGGTATCCTTGATATAGGATACTTTGCCAGAGAGATGGTTGTATTTAAAGTCAATTTGCTAATTATTGCTAAGTTAAGCAGCAGTGTTTGTGCCTCTTTACTTTCATTTTAGATCAACCTCCTCTGTCTTCTGAAAGTGTTCTGTCTTTAAATATGTTACTTAATATCTTGCATCAGGTCTTGCATTATAATTAGTCTTGCTGGATCAAGAGTTCTACTTCTTTAAGTGACATTACCCATCTCTTTTCTGAGTTTATAATTTATAGTCAAATTATTTGAGGGCAATCTTATGATCAGTTCTTGGAGCAGCATCCCCATACACCCACCAACATGGGATATTTGGTAGAGAGACCAAGAAAAGCTAATTTTTGGATTTGGTAATTAGGACATTATTGCTGACTTGCAAAGAATGTTTGTATGCTTTGAACGTTGCCCCATAGTGAACATGTTATACTTTTTGTCTTTCATTTATGACAAATTACTAAAACATGGTTTTGATTAGAGGATCAATGGAAGCAGAACCCAACTGATTCATAGGTCATTTTGGTTGAGGCAGTTACTGTTTTACCTTCTTTTCCTGAAAGAGACTTGCCGGGAGCTATTGGCTTCCCCTTGGCTTTAGTGAGTAAGGGACACCCTCCTCAGTGCTGTCTGTCTCTGTTCATGGGCACATAAAGTAGCTCCTTTCTACACAAAGTTGGGGATGTAAACCAAACTCTTCTGTGGTTTATGCTTCAGAGTATTGTAAAGCACGATTAAAGAAATTTATTGTCTTTTTTTTTCTTTAAAATGTAGTAACTGGTATCATCATTGAAAGTTAGCTTAAATTTCTCATAAGAAAGAAATGGTTCATTGAGAATCCTTGTGTCTCTTTGCAATGATACCTTGGATTATAGTCATTATATTCATCTCGGACTTCATATCCATGTGTTATCGTGTATACTTCATACTTGTTATGCTTAGAAATAGTCTTTTATTGGATAACCCATTACGAAATCAATGGCAATGGAAAGTCCAGAGTTGTTGTATAAATGGATATGACATTAATTAATGTAGAGTATGTAGTATATGTGTACTGAAAATGTTTTGCTAAAAAAATTTCTTAGTATGATGGGTACTACATTTGTTATAGAATTTATAATTTGCTAAACAAATTTAAACAATAGAAAATTAACAAGCCCTTAAGTTTCAGAAATATTCCCTCAAATTGTTTAAAAATAACACCACATGCTAAGGAATTTGTCATACATCAAATTTATATTTTCAATATTAATTCATACTGCCATGTCTGATACTTTCATGTCCTTAAATATTTGGCTTCTGTTTCTTTATTAGAACAATAACTTCAATATCACTTGAATCCTTTATGTAAATTTTTACTTTTAAGATACTAGAAACTGAAAGAAAGTATTTCTTCACACAGGTGCTGATGGGAAGGGTGCCTGACAGGGGAGGACGACCGAATGAAATTGAACCACCACCCCCTGAAATGCCCCCTTGGCAAAAGAGACAAGAAGGCGGCGGAAGGGGTGGTTGGGGTGGTGGAGGTGGAGGTGGTGGCAGAGGAGGTGGTGGGGGTGGAAGAGGTGGCTGGGGAGCGGGAGGAGGCTGGGGAGGAGGTGGAGGAGGGGGAGGAGGCTGGGGAGGAGGTGGAGGAGGTGGCGGTAGAGGAGGAGGTTTCCAAGGCAGGGGAGATTATGGTGGAAGAGGAGGGGGCTATGGTGGAAGAGGGGGCTATGGTGGAAGAGGTTATGGAGATCCGTATGGAGGAGGTGGTGGTGGATATAGAAGATATTAAAACTACAAAAATTGGATAGCAGTGCTTACTTCTTGATAGATACGTTAGGCATAGTGTTCTAAATAACATACTTGAATGTCATCTTTGAAGTAAACACCATGTTAGACTCCCTAATGGTAACATTCTTCAATTGGGTTAATATGTAAGAGCATTGTTTTATACTACCATTTGATCTCTTAGACAAAGTAATGATTTTTTCCATATTCTGTGTATCCTTGAGCATGTTATGTCTTTTTAAAAAAAACAAAAAATGATCAAAAATTATTTTTAAAAATGTAAATATTTATTACCATCAAACGGAAAATGGAAAGTATTTTATTGTCTTTATTGAATTTAGATTGTTACCTGTATTTTATTCAGGTTTGAGACCCATAAATGACCCCACTTGTAATGGAAAGGAGTATAGACTGTTGCCTCATCTGTATTCCTGTGGCTGTGTTTTGTGTTTGTTAATTCTACTTGACAAAACAGGGAAAGGTTCTGACAGTTGTGTTCAATAGGTAGTTGTCATGATTTGTTTTTTCTTTTACAGGGGGCAATTCTTCTGGCCAGGTTTCTGTTAAAGTTCCATTAATTGAAGCCCAAGTCTACTTTTTGCATGCATATTTGACTTATTTTCCAATTGGATTGGAAATCTGTGTGATTTTGTTTGACTGACAAAGCAAAATTAAAGATTGGGGTCAGAATTTCTCTAAAGGGACAAAGACATGTACTAATTTTACATGATGGTGTGAAAAACATTCCTATAAACCGGTTTCGTCATCATTTGTGCCATCACTTTAGGTATCTGCATATTAAAAGGCAGGTTGAGCTGTAGTATATAGGATTAGAGCAATAATTTCCAGTTTCAGTAGATCAGAGTTAGGGGTGAGGCATCCCGTGGTAATTCTGATTTCATATCTAGGTTTGGGAAACCCAGGGTTAGGGAATGGTTGTGTGTGTCTGGTGGGTGGAGTGGTCAGAGGCTTGGGGATTGGGAGTTGTGAATTCGAATCATAGCACTGGCCTAGGGGTGCTGTGGGCTGAAATGACCTTAGTCCTCAAGGATTGATTTGTCCTCATTTGTCAAATGAGGAATGCGGCACTTGCGCCCTTCTCGTTATGTTTCATAAAGACCTACGTGCAAGTGCAATTTGTTGAGAATTTATACAGGGCCTGTTGTGAATAGGTTAAGTGGTGGGCCAAGTAATGCGTTTTTTTCTTAGTGTAGATGGTGAGAGAAAAGGAGATAGCCAGACAGTTTTTTCAATCCCACTGTAAAATCATATCCCATTGTAGGCTCCTGGTCAACAGCTGTACATAATATCCTTCTGTGATCTAATCAACTCAACAGAAAGCTGAGTACCAGTGGACAAATGGTATTTGATATTGGTCACTTTTGTTGTTTTGTTTTACAGTAAACCCCGTGGTGAAATGTAAAATAATGTTAAAACTTTAAATATTGCGTATACTACAGCCTTGGCCATGTATTATTCATGCTAACCCTTCAAAAAAATTTGTTCAGTATAGGAAAACATTCTTTTGGTTATTTGTAAACTTAGATTTTTTTGTGTGTTTATATTTAATGAAGAGACTTAATTTCATTTGTGATAGTTGAAGAAAAAGGCTTTCCATAATTAAGAAAACACTTTTATCAATAGCTTTGAACTCTGAAAAATAAATAATTTTTAAAAATATATAAGCAAAGACCACTGGAGTAAAATGTTTCAAAAGAGTTACTAGTTAAAATAGAAAATGTTCATTTAAAACCTTTACATTCCTGCTTCATTTCTTTCCAGGAGCTTTGGTTGCTGATACAGAAGGGGTTTACAACTACTTTTATCACTAAAGCTTTATGGCAAATAATGGCAGAAACGTTAGTTTATCAGTTTCTGTAAGATTTCCTTGTACCTTCATAGGAGTGCCTATTGGGTTATCCACTGCACTCACCGTAAATCTTACCCGAGTTTAGCACTTGCTTTTGGAATCATGTTGGAGCTGGAACCACTCCTATTTACACATTCCTATAAACTTCATTTGAATGAAAAGCTGAGTAGTCTAGACCCTAATATCTTATTCTTTCCTATAAAGTAGAATTTTCATGATAATCTTCGTTCAGTAAAAATTTCTTTTGTAGTAAGGTATGCTGAGCAATATGTAGAATAGCAGTAAGGCAATTTGGGGCCTTCATGTGAAAGGTCATAATGTGAAAATGTTTTAAAAATGACTGCAATACAGATGTAGAGTATAATGAGTGGCACTTCACTGCTTCCTAAAATCTCACACCTTTTTCTGTGCCTCCTTTTCATTATTTTTTGCCTGGTTCTCAATTTCGTTTTTTCCTATTACCTCATTTTCCCTCTTCTTTTTTATTCTCCTTGCCTTGGTCTAGCCTGTGGTATCTAATAGCACCTAGAGACATGACCTTACTGGGAGTTTCTGGATTAAAGAAGTAACTGACCGCTCCTCTGACCATATGAAGAACATATGCCCTGTGTATACATAATCACCACACCATTACACACAAGCTGTCAGCAAAAAGAAGGGTTCCAGTGTTTTCTTTGAACCTATTCCCTTGTGTTTTGCAGATCAGAGAAACCTTGCCTTACTAAACAGAAAAGACATTTTAAACCAAAAACATTACCTGTATTTGTGTCAAAAGAAGGTATGATAACCCAAAAAGATTTGTGACCAGAGAATGTTCTGAGCAGTGATACTACCTATACCTTATAAAGAGCACAGGGTAGAGAGATTTGAGATGGGAATTGGGGGTGGAGGAGGGGAGGCAGTTTAATCTCTCCTTCAGGGTCAGGTTGGCAATGTGACTTCATTATTTTCTATGAAGTATTATGAATTGCCAAAGTGACAAACAGACACACATCCAAATGTACCAGAATGCATTCCACAGTGGAATTTGCGTGATTGGAATTTTCCCCCTCTCTTCATTGGTCTGGTTCAACAAAAGTAGGCTGAGGATTAAGGAAAATCATGGCTATCTCTAATCACTCTAAATAATCATGGGAACAGATGAATTGCTCTGGATGGTCTATACCCTGGATTGAAGCATCCTCTACGATGGCTTCAAAGTTTTTCTTCTTTACTGGCTAGTTTTCTTAGATAGAACTATTGAATTAAAGACAAAAGCCACAGAGAAATGACAACCTCAGATTTGTCTCCTTCAATGTTAAGTATTTATAGACTTTAAGATTTGGGGATCTCTATAAGTCATTATGCAAGAAGATGGGAAAAGGTTGAATATTTCTATACTGTTACTTCTTCGTGTTATAAAAAGATTTAGAAAAACTTATACTGAATAATTAGTTGCTTTGCTTTTCCCTCCAGGAAAACTCAGTTTGATTAGTAGAATAGGGGATTGTTCACAGCTGTGGATTGTGAAGCTTCTACATATTTATGAACTAGAAGAAACACAAGACATTTATGTTGTAGGGGTCCTAATGTTTTTTATCATATAAATATTACACAAAGGAAACTTACATTAGGTATCCAAAAAAAAAAAACCCTTTACAATCTGTACATTTGTTTTGTCCTTGCAGTTCTTTTACATTTTACATCTTTAGACAGAAATTCACAAATGGTCAGTAAAAAGGCAAGTCAGTTACCAAAGAAAATGAAAAGTGACACTGCTGTTAACAAAATAAGGTTTATGCTTGTTTTGGCAGATAAATAGATGCCCAACTTATTTCAAGTCAGTACAAGATACAAAAATTTGTATCCGAGGCTTGACAAACCAAAAATTTGCTCCAGGTTATTTCTGTAGATTCCACTAATCCCATGTAGCTCAGCGCAAATAATATTAATTTACATACTATATACTTCTTTGGCCCTTGCTGGACTGTAAAAACCTGTGATGAAACTATTGCTTCCTATCCATTTCAGTGGTAAATTCTGGAATGCTTGAGACTCTCTAGCCATGTTAATTTGACTAATTAAGGGGACTGTGACCTTTTGAATTCCTATAGACTACAGACTATTTACTCAGAAACTAACCTGGAGTCTGTATTTTGGATGGAGGGTAAGAAGAATGGAAAAGTTTGTGTTACATGACTATGTTTAAAGAAATTGAGCTGTACCATCTTTGGTCTATATCAGAGGAAAAGAATAATAGGGAAGAATATGAATTAAAGATTATCATAAATTCATGTTTGTTCCATATAAGGTAAGTAGCAGAGTGCTTCTGTAAGTTTATATACCAGATGGTGGACACAAGGAGCCCTGCTGTGGGGATTTCTGAGTTTGGATTTAGAAAAGGGTAAATTTGTATGTAAAGTGATTCTTTAAAACACTAACTGAAAGCTAGTCACTAGCTTTGTCACTAAAGCTCAGTACAAGGAGGTATACAAATGGGAACTGGTCTTTCATCAAAGAAACTTCTTCAATGGTCTGAATCCTCCAAGGAAGCTGCACTGTATATATACTTTGTATTCTGCTTAAGACTTCGTGGTGTTGGCTTTAGGTTTGGAAGTCTTAATTATTGAGATTATACTCTTGGCAGTTGGTCAACTTGTGTATGAATTTCAAGTTAGCTTGGTTCCAGGCTTTCCAAACATGGAAGGTAACTTCCCCCGCAAAACAAAATGATCATATGAAGTTTTTTAGAGAAACAGAAAGAGTCTGACAAAGGAGTTTGTGAATAGTTGTCCAGACAACTAAATGAGCCCATTTATCATTAACCTTCACTAACAGAAAACTCACAGGACTCTTAAATTTGTGATTTTGCCAAACAATACAATTTACATTATGAGCAATTTCATCTCGTAACAAGGTGAACTTTATACTTCTGAATTTGTGTAAATGACTAAAAGTTGTTCAATTCACTTCTACATTTTGTAAAGGAGGAAACAAAGTTCCAAGCCACATACATGCCTGATACTGTATATACATAATATATACATATATACACGCTGTCAGCTATTATTGAAGCCTCTGATCTGATTAGCTTATTTCTAAATAGTATTAATAGTGAAGACAGTATAAGCACAAATTCACTTCAAAAATAGTTACTTAAAAAAAAACAAGATGGCACATGAAGAGTGAAAGACTGTTTTTTAAAAAAGCCGTAAATTCCTAATTCTATCCACTGTAGATAATATGAGGACAAACATCATGTTTGCATTATTTTTATTTTGGCTAATTATCCAGTCATGTAGGTAACAGCCATGTTTCCAGGTATTCAGTTTGGCTACTTATGATGACTGTGAGACTAAAACTATGAGTTGACCTGCAATTGGATGATGTCATGTTGTTTAATAGGTCCCCCCAAATTTGTGGGTACATTTCTAGAAGTTCACTTCTAGGTAGATATCCTCATGTGTATGTGAGCGTAGTGAAGAAAGAGGGGAAAGGCTAATTGATGAGATGAGGTAGTGAAGTGGGAACCGGATTCATTAAGAATGCTGGAATATAGAGGAAGTAAATCTACTTTTG